GAAGGAAGACCCTGTAGTATTTTTGAATCTCTTAATCTGGTATCTAGACATATATTCGTTCTTGATGCACTGTTAACCTGGGCAGTTTTAGAAGGGAAAAGTTCAAGCATTTCAGTATTTTGCATAGCAAAAGGTTCATTTCCTAGGAGGCTTTCCCAATCTTCCTCAAAATCGCTGGCAGTAAATGCAACCGTGTGTTTACCGGACCCTTCCTGCTCCTCAGTTTTGAGTGTCACATATGATTTTGTCATTCTGGGAGTATCTACTTGAGGAGAAAGTGGTGCTGGGGTTTTACTTGGCAGTTTTTCGTGACCAGACTTTCATTAGTAATGATACTCTGCTTTGTCAAAGCACTTTTTTCCCCCAAAGTAGTATCACTGTTGTACAAAAAAGCATCTGATAGACCTTGGCTTAGCTGTCCACTACGTTTCTGAGTAGAACCATCAAAAATTGCATTAAAGGCTACTTCAACATTTTGGTCAACTGACTTCTGACTGCTGGCTTGATCATTTGGCCCAGACAGCGAGGTGTTTCCTTCCACTGGCTTCTTTAATGTAGCATTATCTATTTTGGAAACTATATCCCATGATGAATGCATCTGTACACAATCTTTACACTTAGGCGAAGTCTCTGTGTCTGAAATTATCTGGATAAAATCATGATCCTTCTTTGTTTGTTCTAGAATCACATCTAGTTCTTCCATACTTTTATCAAATTGTTTAGCCAGTTTCATAAGTTCTTTTGCTCAATTTTGTGTTTTTAAATTTGTGCGGCTCATTTTTCTTCTTGATTTTTCCTTTGCTACAGTGGGAGTACAAGGAATTGCAGTTTCACCAATCAGATGCCCAGCATAGAATTAGTTGTTGGTTTGCCATCCTGAGGAGCAATATGATTAACAATATGTGAAATCACATCAGTATCTGTGGTGTAAATCTGCCTTTTTCTTCCTTTATCTAACTGTTTTGTCATTGGAGAATTTTGGTCCTAAAAGATAGCATTCTGTCCAGCTGGACCATTTGGCGAACTGAAGGTACATGATAATAAATCCATTCTCAGCATTCTGGGCATTTCACACTTTTCTCAGCTGCCGCCTCCCCAGCTCGAGCCTGGAGCTGCATTCCTTAGCTGCTGCTGTTTTGGGCAGCGTGCTCTTCGGGCTGGGAGGGCCCCGGATTTTCCCTAATGACTCATTCCTAGGAGCCCCCCACCACCGGCAGCTTCATTCACATTTTGCAACGAGAAGGAAGCAAGCACTCTACAAATCAGACTCCATGTCAATGCCCACTGCCATTTTTGTCTTTTTTACTTTTTTAAGAAATTGAATTTTTATTTTTTGCACACAAAGTTTTAAAAAGTGTTTTTTCTGGCTTTACTGATAAGTGACTGAAAAAGTTGTAAAGGGATTGTGACCCCAATCTCTGTCCACCTTCCATGGCATCTCTGAAATACTAGGTACAGTAGTGAGGTTGAGATAAACCAGTTAATGTCCATCCTCTCCAAGCAGCTCTGCACCTGGGCTGGGACTCCTTCAGCAGCAGGGAGCTTGCCTAGCACGCACCTGGGTGCCCTCTTCAGCACTGCAGAGAGGAGCATAGTTCTGATGCTGTACCAGTTTATTTCTCAAGGATGGCTAAGATGCAGTTAAGCCCGAAGGAAAAGAAAATTCCTGATACTTGACCCAGGATTTTACATTTCAGGTTGCGGGGCACGGTAGTGGGTTTCCTTTACAAACCTGTAGACAAAACCTGATTTGAGTAACTTTAAATTTTATCTGTAAGAAAGAAGCTAAATCTAGTCTTCCTTTTGTCACCATCATTTAAGATTAGATCATCTCAGCTGTCAGAGAAGGAGAGACATTTAGGTTTGTGTTTGTACTGTCACGGTTTCCTGCCTCTCCTCTACCACATCTTAGTTCGGACTCCACTGATGATGAAAGGGCAGTACTCATTTGACGTCTTTTTCATATATACAGTTTCATTTACATAGCAAGCAGGGGCACATGATTTCTTGAGCCAAGAACAACTTTACATTAAAGTCATTCACCAGCACTGAGTACTTTACTAATGACTACCAAACCTTTGTGAAAGATTCCTCCGGAAACATCAAGGGCCCAGTCTCAGTGGAGCATTTTGAGATTTTACCTAAGGAGACAGACGCACTTTTCTTTGCAGAATTCAAATGTGTTTTCTTAAAAATGTACCTACACCTAGCAAAGTGTTCCTAGATCATTTTCTTTTTTTTTTTTTTTTTTGGTTTTTCTCTGGTATCGGGAACCGAACTCACGACCTTGCGCTTGCCAGGCAGGCGCTTTTGCCGCTGAGCTAAATCCCCAGCCGTTCCTAGATCATTTTCTTTCTTGGTGAAAATTAAGTGGCAGAACTGGGAGAAGGAAAGTTGTGTTAGCATGGGCCCTTACGCAGCGGTTGTTGCTGCACGTGGCTGCGAGCCCTCTGATGGGCATCATATCCTGAACCTAAATTCCTTACCTCTGTGCACAGACTGGCTAGCTGTGAAATACTGCCTGACATTTTTCTCAAATGTACATGTGCTTATTTGTAACTTTTGTATTCTAAGTTAAGTGTTTAGCATCAATATTGTCTTACACAGAGGCATGAAATGTCAGTTCACCAAAACATTTAGAAAACTATTCAATAATTCATATTCTTGATATTTAGGTTGCTGGAACTGGAGGTAAAAACAGTTGTTTCACAGTGTTTTGCACTGTTCTGAGACTCACTGCATTCTTTGCTAGCACACTGTCCCTAGACTTTCTGTGAAGGTGGAGACAGAAATGATGGTAGACCCTGCTTCACCCACAAGTCACGTGCAGCTCCCAAGCACTTGAAACGTGGCTGTTGTGCCTGAAGAACTAAATTTTATTTTTTATTTCATTCTTATTAGCTTAAAGTTGAATGCAGCCACACGTGGCTTGCGCCTGCCATGTTAGACAACACAGCAAGGTAGTCGTGTGTTATTTATCTCAGGTGTAAAGATATTCACTCTTCATAAGCCAGCATGAAAGCATTGAATTGCTTTTAAGGAATAGGTAGAATTCTCGGCTTGCCTTTTAAAATAATTGTGCTAAGTTGAGCAACTTCGAGATGAAGGATGTACAAACATTTTGACTGAATTAACTGCCAAATTGTTTATTCCTTTATTCAGTTGGCAAATAGAATATATCCACGAAGTACCTAGTAAGTCTCTCCATTGTGCTAAGTGCTTGGGATACGCGAGATTCAAGGCAGGTTCATTGCCTTCAAGAAATCCACCATGTAGAAAAGGTAGACAGCAAGTAATAATGAACTTTTGTGAAAGACAGGAGAAAGTTGAGAAAAAGTCAGAGATCACTCCCAGACCTTAGTCGTGAGTCACTGGAGGGAAAGTGGCAGTATTCGTAAAGCTAGGCAACTCTCGGGAGGAGTGGACCATGATGAGTTGAGCTATCTGTTAGAAATTCATGTTCTTGTCCTGAAAGTAGTTGAATATAAGGTTCTGCAGCATGGGGCCAAGTCTTGAGATGGACATGTGGAAGTGACCCCTTGGTGAAGCCAGGGCTACTGCATGGTCCACCAGGGCAACAATATGAAGAAAGAAAGACCTGAAAACCAAGAATAACCTTGAGACATTTAGCAGCATTTATCAGGTGAGAAAATACTCTGTTCAAGAACAAAACTGCCTTACGAATTTAGGCAAAGACTGAAAGACAATCTAAAATATATAAACAATAATCTCTGTTAGGAGTTTTAGTGAAATAATGCATGGGCATGTTTACCAGTGACTTTATATCCAAGTCACTTAATACTGAAAACCAAATCAGTAAGAAATACATATTAGACATCTTATGGTCCAATTATACACACAAATGACCAAAGTAACTCATTAACTGGCTGTTTTGTGCTGTGGAAATCAATACTGTCAAATATGATGTACTTGAAATATCCAAAATAAAATTTCTGTGTGCTTTGTGGTACTGTGGTGAGCATAGCTGCCTTCCAAAATAAAATTTTCAAGTCCTTAAATTTTCTTGCATTAGTGATGAATGATACACATAAAATAGACTTTTGCTTTGATCCTCTGATGTAGAGAAACTTTCTATCCACTGGATTAGTACTCACTTTTTGAAATGCAAAATAATTCAGCTAATCTGTTAATTTTGTCTCTTCTTAATGAACTCAGAGAGGGTGTCACAGATATCATTTTGTCATTGTCTTGCTGCTACAAGGCCTTATTTTTTACTGCATTTATCAGCAGACTCTTTTCTCACTCAGCGCATACCTGGGGCTTTTCATTCTTTGGCTTCCAAAAGAAAAACTCTGGTGGGGGAGGGGAGCTGGGAATGGAACCCAGGTCGTTTCACGTCCTAGGCAGCTTCTCTACCACTGAGCCACATCTCCAGCTATTAGAGAAATTCTTGGAAACAAGGCTTGAAAAACTGCTTTCAATGTTTAAAAAAAGATTCTCATTTATATTCTCTCTCCCTCTCCCTCCTTTTTTTCCTCTTCCCCTTTCCTCTGTCTTTTAATTTCTCTTTAATGGGTGAAAAGCTTTCAGACTCCAGTGTGCTGTGAAGCTACATTCTCACCTTGGGCACCAGAATTCTAATTTATAGAAATGAATTGTTAATGAGCCCGAGAATGGAGAGTTTCTCTAATTACAGGAAACAGAATTAATTTTGTCCTGCAGGCACTTTTTGTAATTGCAGTTGGTTTAAAAATTGAGAAAGAACATTTGCTCATATACATTGGCTTTTAAAAAAACTTGCTTTGTTCATTGCTGTTAAAATATGGCATCAAAACTGATAGCAAGCTTCATTATAATGAGGGTCCAGATGATGAACTGTGTAGGAATTTGTGCAGGAAAAGCAACACCTCGGAACTGATGGTATGTATTAGAAAAAATAAATAAGTTTTCTTATTTGAGCATTGCTTTTATTGTGGACAGAAGATGTCAATTGAAATGGCTCCTGAGACATACTTACCATCTCTCGTTCTTCTTTATAGATACCTGCAAGGAAAAATCTCTGGCATAAATCCTGCTGCTGCCGCTTTCTTTGATGTATGTACACTGAAAGCCACAGACTAAAATTGGCTGGATGCCTGTAACGTGGATGACTTAGCTAATGTGTGTTACCAACATAGAAAGGTTTTAATTTCATGAGGTAGCTCTCATGAGCAGGGTACCGTAGTTGCCATTTGGGTGACCTTTCTGATTGGGAGCCAGTAATTACCATACTTAGAGCAGTCCCTGCAGTAACTTCCAAAAAGAAGGTAAGCTCCATCCCAGACATGGCTGAAGGTCTTCTTGCCTTGTGTGAGTGTACTTTATGAGGAAAGTTCACTGGCCTGCCCGGTGTACAAGGCTAGGTGAGTAGAGCCACTAGACTGCACCCCCACATCACGGGCAGCACCCAGACTCTAAATAGCCTAGGCTGTCCCTTTCCTTTCCTTACAGCATTCAGTGCAGCACCCCCTTCTTCATCCCCCAAAGTTAGTAAAGTAGGTCCTTTAGGGATACCCATTAATGGAACTCTAAAACCTGGGCCTACCTTCAGTGATCAGAAACTCGGTTCCGAGAAGGAAAACTATCCCACTTCAAGAGAGGTATAGAGGAACAGAAGAGGCATACAGAAGGCATTACGGAGTGAAAAGGCGGCAAGACAGTCCTTCCCCTTACGTTCCACTTCATGGGTGCATGGGCCACAGCTGATCAGCGGGTTTGCCACAGTGGTAACGGCTACAGAGAGCAATGACAGCAGAGGCTTCAGAAGGTAGGGCTTTGAGTCCCAGTTCTGGCACTTACCAGTTATGTGATATGGAGGAAGTTCATTTCCTCGAAGGCCTTGGCTTGCTCATCTCTAGGATGGAGATGGTAATAATGCTACCTCCCAGAGATGGAGTAATGCCCACAGGAATCATACTAGTATATCGTCTGTATTCCTGCCATGGAGTGAAGCCTCTGTGAGAACAGGGACCGTGGCTGTCTTACTGATCAGCAACATACCCAGCATCACAAACAAGGCCTGGCACACTGTAGGCACTTGTAAATACGACGTTCATGAAGGAGTGTTCTGTGTTTATGCACATTGCTGTTTTTATTGAAATCCTCACATGTGCAGTGTGGGGTTTTCAAGGCCACTGTGGTTCTCCGGAATCCACATGGTTGAAAGCATTTGTACGTTTCTAGAGCAGTCTTTTTAGTGTTTAAGTTCTCCTGGCAAGTGGAGAATCTGTGAGCACATATTTTAAACAGGAAGCACTGATTTTGTATTGCATTTTCCAGCATTTGTTCCTTTAACAAGGTACTCCTATGCAGATATTGGGCTTTTGAACTGAGGGTGTAGCTCAGCGGTAGCATGTGTGCTTAGCATCCCCAAGACTTTGGGTTTCATCCACAGCACCACACACACACACACACACACACACAGAGAACTTTCTTTCTTCTGAGAAAATACCTCTGCATAACCTAATAGTTTGTGCAAGGAACTGTAAAACAGGTGAGAAATTAGGTAGCAAAAGGCTAAGTTGAGATAGGAGAGATCAGGGAAAAAAATCTCAAGTTAGAAGTTTAGCTAAACACAGCAAGGGATTGACTACAGATTAGGAGTTGTGGGTTTAGTACATTAGTGCATTTAAAGACAAATCAATAGAAACACTCTGAAATTAAACACAAGGATAAAATAAAGAAGAAAATAGAAAAAATACAAATTTACTTTTGGAAACTCACAACTGGCAAAATCTATATTGAATGAAGTTTCAAAATGGTGGAAGTTGGGTGCAGAGAAAATGTTTGAGTAATTACCGGAGATTGTCCACCTCTGATGAAAGCTAAAAAACTCAACAGTCCAAGGGTTTCAACCAAATACAAGCAGAAGAAATGCAGAAAAGCACACCAAGTCTGGGAGTGGGAGGTGGCAAAGTATTTATGACAGAAGAAGAACGATGCTGAAAACTAAAGAACGGTGAGGACTTCCTACCTGTCTGGCTTAGGTGTGTAAGCCCCACAGCAACCTTCGGAGGCATTTTCATTTCAGTTTTGCAGGTGGTGAATATTGGATTTCTATTGAATAACTGGCCCAAAGCCACATAGTAAATTGCAGAACCAGGATTCAAATCTGTATATGTCAGACCCCAGATAGTCATGTTTATTACTACCCTGTGAAGGAAGAATCTACTTTGAGAGCTACTTTTGATATTGTTTTAGTTTTCGGCATATTACAGTTTTGTCATATCATAGTTTCATATATTTGAACATCTTAAATGTATTTATTTTGAAGCAAATTCTGGTTCATTTTAGGTGAGCCAAGGTGGACTCATCAGTTAACAAAATAGTGAAATCTTTGTTCTAGAGTATCTTATAGTCTAGCAGTGGGAAAGATGATAAGGAAGATAAACAAATTAAGTAAAGAAAGTGTGTATTAGAAAGTGATAAGAGCTATTGGAAAAATAGAGCAAGATGAGGAGGACTGAGAGTGCGACAGGTGGGGTGTGTAGTATTCAATATGAGTGAAGACTTGAAGTGAGAAAACTATCCATGAAGAGCTCTGTGAGGAGACTCTTAAAAGGAGGAGGAGGACTGCTGGGGCTAGGGTGGAAATGTGCTCAGTGTTCAGAGGAATATCAAGGAGGGCACAGTGGCTGGGGCAGAGCAGTTGAAGCTGAGAGGGAGTATGACAGTCAGAGATGCAATTGGAAGTCAGGTTGAGTAGGGGATTGGAAGCCATTGCAGTAAATCCCCGACTTGCGAACAAGTTCCATTCCAGGAGATCATCCGTAAGTTGGATTTATTCATAATTCAAAGAAGTGAGTCTTATGCGGTGCACCTGTCAAAGTTCACAACTTGATTGTTCATAAGTTGGAGACGTACTATATACAGATTTTGGCTTGTACTCTGAATGAATGAGGTGGGCATTAGAGACTGTGCAACAGAAGAATGGCATGATGTGACCTATTTATTCAAAGAGTCACTGTGTTAACCGTGGACTATGGGAAACAAGCCAAGAATGGAATTCCCAAGAGCAAGTAGGAGGCTATCTCCCAAATCCAAGCACTGCTTGCTTGGACCAGATTAGGAACAGTGGAGACTGTGAATAGTGGTCAGATTCTAGACACGTGCTGAAGGAAGAGCTGTTGGTTTTTCTGAGATTTGATGAAGGGTTGTGAGGAGAGGATTTAGGGATGACTTTAAGGTACATAACCCGATCAGCTGGGAAGATGAACATCCCACTGAACATGTAACAACTGGAATGGAGATCTGAATTTGAGAACTATCAGTGTGGATGGTCCTACAGCTGTAGCCTGGATGAGGTCACCAAGGCAGATAGCGACAAAGACAGAGGTGTGAGCCGTGGAGCACACCTGAAGTTAGGAAATGAGCGAGAAAGGTCAGATCAGCAGGGTGACTGGTGAGGCAGGAGGTTAGGCTGGGTAAGGACAGTATTTCCAGGAGGAGGGAAAGATGAATTTGCTGGTAGTTGGGTAGGTGAACCAAAGAGAAGTGACTGTAAGAGTAGAACCTGGAAGTCACCATGAACCTTGCAGAGATAAGGAGTTCGAGGGGAATGTGGAAGGGGGCAGGGAGGTGGCGTCTTGACTGGAGTAAGCCAAAGAGAGGATGGCAGAATTGGTGGCCGAGTATAGAAACTCCTTCTGAGAAGCTCTGTTGTAAATAACATACACAGATAGCAGATGGAAAACGAGTGGGATCCAGACAGGAATTTTAAGGTCAGCATATTTTAAAAGTTTTTTATATTTTATCCAGAATTCACACATGTCCGTGTTTCATTTGATGGGGAGTCTAATGCTCCCCTTGCCCACCAAAAACAGTAAAATGTAAGGATCTCTTGACAGTAAGCTACCACAGGCATTCATTTCCAGTTCACATAACCATCAGGTCTTTGAGCCTGTGTTGGAAATCTCCCTTATGTCTAATCGCAAAGGCCATGCTTTTGTAATCCTGTAGCATACATAGTGTTCATGGAGACAGTTATGGAAGAAAAGCGAATCCAAAACACCTCTCAATATTGAAAAAGCATGTTGATTGCCTTCTAGTGCCTGTGTATGCATTTTCATTTTATCGTTTTAGCTTCTAGTTGCGTCTCGTGAAAGACTGGCTTCAGGCCTTAATCCTGATTATACTGTAAACTGGATATATCCTTTTTTCTTACAAAGTAGTTTCCTAGGTTTTTGTATCAGACCAATTACCATTACTGCATGTGATGCTGTCACTTAAGTTCACTTAAAGTCACTGAATTTATATCAGTAGGCAGAAACAAATAGATACACAAAGCAGACAGCTTAATCAACATCCAAGTACATAAATTCCTATTGAAAATCACCCACTAAACAAAGAACTAGTGATTAAATCAATAGATGGCAATGATAAAGAATGGAAGGAAGACAAGTCCTATCCTATCTCAACAAATACCACCCCATCAGAATATCCACCTAAACCCAAGATTGGCACATCTTCAGGTGTATCACTTAAAGCGTACCAAACAGTGCCCTGGGATATGAAGGCATGCAGTTTCCTGAAGTTGAAATGCTTGGATGTGACCCAGCAAGCAGGTTCCTTGTAGGAAAATGAGGGTGGATCCATGTCTCAAGCTGACTCAACAGAACACAACACAACACAACGAAATATTTTGGCAGAGATGTGAAATATTTCACTGCTAGGCCAAGTACTTAAGTTTCATATGAACAGTGGTTCACAGACTGCAAAAATGACCCAGTTTTTAAGGAACTAGAACTGGGTCATTTAGCAGGGAGACAACATACAGATCATCCCCAATTTACCATGGTTCACTTACAAATATTTGATTTTATCATGGTGTGAAAGTGATAAATATGCCTGAAAAGAATCCTTTCTATTTTCAGTTTGGGCTCTTTCCTTGGCTAGGGGTATGCTGCTGTTAAGATACTATATTAAGTGCTGGGCAGGGGCAGGGACCATGGTCATGAGGGTAAAACAAAGACTTTACAGCAAAGCTGGGGCATCTGGTACGGTAAATCTATTAAGTGCATTTTCCACTTAAGATGGGGTCACATCAGTGTAATCATATTAAATCGAAAATACCATAATTTGAGGAGCATCTTTGTTTGGTTCAAAGCAGCCAGTGGTTTAATTAAAAGTGGCCATGCTTAGGAAAAGAGCACCAGGCATTACATCAGTGGATTCTTTCTCTGTGAGTGCTTCTAACTTTCTGTATGACCTTGCCCTTAGAAATGCTCAGGAAGCGATTAGCTTCTGCTGCTGTAATACAATAGTTTTACTAGTAATACTTCCAACCCCAGCTGCCTAAAAACCATGGAGCGGTCAGTAAGCAGTTCCTGGTTTCCCATCCATTGTTCTAAGTCTGGGCTTCTGGACCTCCGGAAAAGTGGTCCTGTCAGCAGAGATGCAGTCCGCAGCTCCTGACCCACTCTTCCTTGAAGTAGGGGTTTGGGTCGAATGATAGCAGTGGAAGATGAGGGGACTGCCAGCGTTCACTGTGACCAAGACCGCCTCCACCAGCACCACCGAAAGGCATACTTACTTTTGGCAGGGGCTTTGATTTGTAATCGTTTTAAACTCTTGTGCTTTCAGCACACACATATACTGTGTTCCTCTTCCTGAGTTTGGCGATGTATACCTTCTCGAATCCATAAACTCTACTTGCTTTTTTCTTCTAGCAGTATTCTTCAGGGACATGTTCAATGATTTTTGTTAGGTTTTCAGGGATTTTTGGGTTTGTATTGTTTTTCTGAGAAAGGGTCTTGTGAAGTAACCCAGGCTGGCCTCAAACTCACAATGATCCTCCTGCCTCCGCCTCCTAAATGTTGAGGTGACAGGCGTGTGCCACCACCACACCCACCTAGGTTTTCACTTGAAGCAATGTTAGAAATCATGATATGAAATGTGTCAAAATTCATGTTGTACCTATGTTTTCTATTGTAGTTCTTTCTCCAAATACATTGTTTTTTTTTGGTTTTTCTCCGGTACCAGGAACCGAACTCACGACCTTGCGCTTGCCAGGCAGGCGCTTTGCCGCTGAGCTAAATCCCCAGCCCTCTCCAAATACATTGTAATCTCTTTCTCTTTTGAAAATTCATAGGATCAAGTTGCCCAAGAAAAAGATGAGCCAGAAGAATTTCGCCCAGGTGACTTCGATGACTGCAGTTCATCTGTCACCAGCATATCATCCTCGGAAGTCATACCAGAGTCATTAAGTAGGTGTACTGAGGCATTTGACTGGGACTATCAAAAGCAAAATGATGACCTCCAGGGTAGTTACGATTTTCAAATGAAGATAATGCTCTGTTTCTAATGGTGTGAAATCACAGGAGTGAATTCAGGCTTTCTTCATTTTCTGTACATTTTTTGAGATAATGATTTGAGAGCAAGAAAAATGAATATATATCATCCTGAGTTCAAGTGCTTTGGAGTGGTGCTATTCTCTTTCATTTAGTTTTAATCTTCCAAAGATGGGTGGTGGATCTCTTTTTCAAACTCATGCGGTCTTTTCTGCTGTGACACAGTAATGGCATTCCAAAAAAACCTCTTCTCATTAAATTTTAATGGGGGTGGAGGGGGAAAAATAGTGATTCTTTTTATAAGTAGAAGACATTTTACAACTACAGTTGCATAAAATTGACAAATGTTAATGATAAATGTGTAATGCGTATTATGACCCCTAATTAGTTGAATCAGTATGCCACGTATTTTGTAACATGGAATCTCCATATATTGAAGATTGAGGTATTAGCCTCAATTTTGATCTTATATTTTATTCTGTTTTGTTTTTTAAATTTTTCACAGGTTTTAAACACAGTTTTAATGCTTCCGTGTCTTAAGTACTCATAGTTAACAGCCCTTCGATTATTGCTGTCAGTCTCAGAGCTTTGTTCCAGAAAAATCCTTTGAAGACAACAGGAGTGGGGAAAGCCTATGAATTTATAACTGATTTCTAAAACTTGTAAGAGTAGTGATTGCTTTAAGCCTATTTATCTGGACTTCCTAATTGATTTCCTGTAGCTAATTCATATTTATTATTGTTAAACTTACAATAGACAAATCCATATAACCTTCCACAACTGACTTTTCTAATGAAAGTGGGCATATTAAGATGCCTAGCAACAAATGGCCTGTGTAGTCAAAACCGAGTAGCTCCCAGATTCTTTGCTGTCATTTACAAGGGGTGATTGAAATATACATGAATATTTACATTTTTAAAGTCTATTACACAGCACATTGCCATTAATTCTCCTCAGAATATTCTTCTGCCAGTGAAACACCTTATTCATCATTTTTGCCCCTTTCTGAAGCAGGCCTGGAGTCCTCTTTTGTGTCTTTATGAGGTATGGTCAAAAATCCAGTGAATGCTGCTGCCAAGTGCCGTCCAGTGGGAAGGCGGGCTTGTAAAAATCATTGTCATGTGTCCCCATCCATCTTGTCAAATCCTGCACTGTGTGACTTTTGGCTTGTCCTCAGTGTCAAAATGATCATGAAAGGTAAAAAGTTTGAATTATTCAGGACATCAAGGAAGTCCCAGTAGCACAACTAAAGCCACAGAAGAGGACTTCCAGAACTGCTTCAGAAAGTGATGCTGTTTGATTCTGTGTTCATTTGGAATCAGGGAATTGTAAATATACTACTAAGATACAAAACTGATTTGGAAAGTGGTCGATAGTGATAAATGAGTTAAGTAGAAGAGTTTGGCCAAGGGTCATCTATTGGAAGCATCCAGACTAGAATTTTCCAAAATACTGTGGTGCCTTGGCTCAAGAACTTAATTCGTTCCACCATTATGGGGAAGATGGCCCCATTCCTGATTGTGAAGGGAAGGTGGCCAGGATCCTGTTCATCACCTGATGTGGAGTTTGAGAACGGAAGCAAAATTTTACTGAGCACTTCTGTTCGAGAACCGAATTGTTGGTGAACAGAAGTATTCTTGAACTGAGACATTACTGTACTCTAAATAGTCATCCAAAACTTAGGCCATGATCGAAGGGCAGTTTGCTCATGTCCACAGCATCATAGTAAAGTATGCAATCCTAGGGTGTAAAATTTCAGTGTGAGGTGTCCAGATGTGTACTTACTGAGTCCACTGCCCATCCCCAGACAAGGTGCTTAAGCTTCGGACGACTCACAAGTAAACATGGCAAGCCAATTGGTTAATATTAAATCCTGCTGAGAGCCACTTTGTGGTGGTCTCCAACAATGGCAAGCAGAAAGTAGCAAAGCAAGCAAGGGAGCAGATAAGCTTCTTTCTGTTCCTTATATCACTCACACTCTTAATTGTAGCATTGCATCATGAATCAATCCCAGTGTCACACACACTAGATCCAGCCACCTCTGAAAAGCCCCACCTATGACTGCAGGAGGCTTTGGGGTGACATCTGGACACAGCCCTAACAGCACCTTTAGAAAAAACAACACAGCTGTGATGCAGCCGCCTCAGTGCTTGGCATGGTCTTCTCATTCCCCAGGATGTCAGCTTGATCACTTGGCAAAGGTGGTATCTGCTATGTGTCTTTATTGTCAAGTTACTCTTGTCCCCTTTGTACTTACTAAACATTTAAGGGCAGCTATACTGAGAACATGCACATATCCTGTGTCTGCTTGGGCAGACAATTATGCTCCATTTTAGCATAATCGGTAGGACTCACTTGTCGCAATTAGTGCTGTGACATTCTAAGGCTTGTTTCTATTGCCTTCATTCCTTGTATTTTTTTTTTTTTACTAGAATACTGTACGAAAATGTTCCTTTCCCCTCTGTCTTTCATTTGCTCATTTACTCATTCATTTATATCAGCATGGTTTTATGTGTATTCTTCTTTATTATTTAGCTTGTACTCCAGTGTCATCACTTTTTTTTTTCCAGATTGTTCCTCCTTTGTCTAGTGGGGGCTCTTTTTGACTGACTCCCTTGTCTTATCATCAGTCCTGTATCTTTTCTTCCTCTCTTCGTTTTATAAGTTGTTTGAGGTCACTGCATTCAGCCTCTTCTCTAAGGAACCTTAGGTTCTTTTGGAAAACAGTAATTACAGATGAAGGCCTGAGTCCCCAGTGTTCTCATTGCTATAGGTGTGTCACTGCAGCTGTCCCCATCTCAGCAGATAGAGCTAGGAAAGACACGAATGCATGCTAACCCACCCAAGTGCATACCCCTCTCTACTTGTTAAAAATAGCAGGAATTTACTGGTACCTCCTACTCTAATCTAGCACTACAGGATTCATTCTAACCTTTTCTTTATGCTTGTTTGCAATAGCTATGTTTGACAGTGAGAAATCTAATCCTCATTACCTGCAATATATTTATGGATTGTCAGTGCATAAATGTATGGAAAGTAGCTTCACAATTGATAACCCATAGCCTTGCAAGAAACAAGTTTACCATCTGGAGCTAATATGTGCGTGCAGTTGTTTTTATCTTTAGCCTTACGGCATCCAGACACATCACAGATTCCAAGTTCCATAGTCCTCGCCCTTCGCAGGGTGGATGTTACTTCTTTGTAATGCAGTTATATTTATTTGTTGTTTGTCACAATCTTTAGTCTGATCTCAATTTCCCACATCCTGATCTATTTATTTTAAACTCTGTATACAGCACAATTCACTCTGTAGGGTGTGCAGTTCTGTGGGTGTTGACAGAAGCAAAGCATCATGTATTAGCCCCGCTGCACCAAAGGCCACAGCTCCATCATCCCCCAACCCCTTTGTGCTCCTTCTCCATATCCAACCTTTGTGCACCATCACCTGACAACTACTAATCTGTGTTTCATCTCTTTACCTTTCCTTTTCCCAAATGTTCTCTAAATGGATTTGTACAATGTCTAGTCTTTTTTCCCAATTCTGAGGATCAAATCCCGGGTCTCACACATGCTAGCCAAGCACAGTACCACTGAGCTACATCCATTCACAGCCTGGAGGATGTCTCAGCTTTTTGATGTAGCTTCTTTCACCTAGCAAAATGCAATGGAGATTTCAACCACGTTGCACAAATCAATGGTTCATTCTTTTATTGCTGAGTAGCACTGTATTTTATGAAGATACTATCTGTAGGACATTTGAGTTGTTTCCAAGTTTAGTGTGATTATGAATCAAGTCTCTATTAGCATTAATGTAGACATTTTGTGTCAGTATGTTTTCATTTCACTTGGGTAAATTCCTGGCCATATGACCACTGGGTCATACAGGAAGGGTATATATTTTAGAAATTGCTGGACTGTTTTCCAAAATGACTCCATGACTTTTAACATTCTCTATGGTGCTTTTCAGGGCTGTTAAAGCGAAGTCATGTCACAACACCTCCCTGAGCACTTTGTGTACTTCTGAGGTCAAACATTCTGGGGACCCCAGTTGTTCAGAAGTGAATAGGTTTATTTTCGTTTGATCCGTTGAATGGCTTCACCAAGGCAAATGAATTTTAGAATGAAATGACACTAACACCTGGGAGGGGGTTCAGGCACCAGCATAAGTTGGGAGTTGGGCAGAGGCAAGTTCAAATGTGCCCTCCTTTTTCTTCATTTTCAAATGTGAATGACTTTTGAAATAATGTTCTGAATGGTTCCTGGTACCTGGCAATCTCTCCTTAATGGGAAATACAGCTGTACTGTCTTAGTATACAGTCTCTTTGATAACATTAGAACTTCTGCTGTCTTAGTTATGAACTCCAATGTGATTTCCTCCTCAGCTACAACATTTCATGCCTTTGCACTTGAAAGCATGATGGATCCGAAGAGATGCCAGGATCCAGTTGACATAGAGTTCCCAGTGGATTGCAGCTCCCTAGAGGAATACCAGGATTCGATGAAATGGGAGATTCCCACAGTGCCGGAGGTCCTGATGACAACAGTGAAACAGGACATCCTGGAAGATCCAGAGACGCAGGAGGTCCTGATCAAGCCAGTGGTTCAGGAGGACCTCCCCTCTTCTCGTATAGTTACAAGCCACAGTGCTCAGGTACTTCTGCAATCTTTTCCACATACACGTTGGGGACTGTAATCTTGCAAATCCCTGAAGTGTCCCTCATGTGCCCAGGTTTCTTTATTTTTAAAAAACTGAATCACTGTTTCTGCTATAATGAATTTTCACATGCAGCTGAGAACATAGTGGGCCCTTGCAAACAGAAAGATTAGAGGTTTTCTAAGTGAGACCAAACCCCCGTTCTCTTCTTCATGTGAACTACCTAAGGACATTTGATGCCTCCGAAAAAGTTTGACCCAAATAGGAAGCTCAACTGCACTGAAAATGCATGGTGTTTAGTGCCCGCTCATCATCTCCTATGAGGGGCTGCTAAACACCTCAAGGGAAGGCGGCTTCCCTGTTCATCCATGCCGGCCCCTCCAATATACACCACAAACAAGGCTTACCCATGGAGTTTGTAGTAGGTTAAAATACAGAACAATTCCATGTTGGATACATGCAGCCTGCAAGTGTTAACACTAATGTGTGGCCCAAAGCCTAATCCAAATGGGCGGGTTAACTACTCTGCATCTCCTCTGCTTCTGAATATGTGTACTCAGTCACACACTTGGACAGTCACCTTCATGTTAGCACCGTTCAAACCAAGGTTGGGAGCCAAGGAAGGGAACTGACGGTTGCTTATGCGGAATTGCGTGCATCAGTTGCTCAGCCAGAGATGAGCTCAGCCACTCTATGTCTAATGCCCAGAGCAACCTCATCTGATGAAAAGAACTGAGGGCTAGGAGACATTGTTGGAGTTTGGCCCCAGGAGTTTGTCCAAACTAACCCTCAGTTTCTCCGTCTGTTGGTGTGTGTGTTTGTGTGCTTGTGTGTGTGAGAGAGAGGCTGGGGATTGAACCCAACGTTCACTGCGCTAATCCACAACTCTTATTTTTTTTTTAAATCTTTAGACAGGGTCTTGCTAAGTAGCCCAGGCTGGCCTTGAAATTGTCATGAGCCAGCTAGGAATACAAGTGTGTGTGCCACCACGCCCAGTAGTTTCCCCATCATGAAACGACCTTGCCTTGGATTGTGGACCGCTATGGAAGTTCCTTGAACTATGTAAAAGGACATTTCTGTGGGAACCCATTCTGTCCTCGTTCGTGTCTTTATTGTGCTCAGGAGTTGTGACTTCCTTTTCACCACTCACAACTGTTCTCCTCTGTTGGATGGATTTGTAATTAAACTTCCAGCATAGACTTTGTTTAAAATTGTCAAAATAACCAGGAATAAATGCCGTCTGCCTGTGTGTGTGATAATGCTATTGGGCTATTTCTGGTGCCAGGTTGTGGCCACCTGGAGTGTACTCTGAAGGGGAGACCTGGCTGGGGAAGGGGCTGATACTAGTGTGTAGTCAGCAGGTAACGACACTTGAGAAGTGAGAAACGGAAAGGGGCAGGTCAGTTTTATCCAAATTCTTGACGTGTCATTGTGCTTATGGCAGGGAAGATGTGCTTCAAGAAGACCAAACTAGGGCTGCAAATAGAAGCTGCAAAGCAGACCCCTTTCAGATGCCTTCCAGTATACCTCGTGGCATGACTGGCTCTGCCCAGCTGAGCCAGGTCACCTCAACCAGGAGCCAGCTTCTCCTCTTCTGGGGAAGGCCTAGAGCCCGGGCTTAGTAGCTCACTTTCCAAGGACAGCAGAGACCGTTCCTTCCTATAAAGTTGGTTTCTTCTAGTCTTGAAGAGAGACGGGGTGGGGGAAAGGGAGAGAGAAAGGCTCTAATCAGTGCTCGATTTCCGGTGAGAAGAGATATATAGTATGTAGCAAAAGAAAGGGAAAGCAGGTGGACAATTCTCAAACTTTTTCCTGGGTTGTGTTTGCAATATATAATAATTACATTCATCACAGGGCATTGGTGCATATGGTGTCTTCATCTTTTTTCCTTCCATTTCCCCTCCCCTCCCTCTTGTCTATTCCCATCCCCAGATTCCCTCCCCATCTTCACAACGTTTATCTCCTTATTCCCTTTTTGCTATTTTTATTTTGCTCTTTAAATTATTTATGCTTTCGGTTTCTCATATAAGAGAAGCCATGTGCTATTTAAGCTTCTGTTTCTGATTTATTTCACCTAGTATTACGAACTCAAGGTGCATCCATTCTCCTATAGAACACTCAAAGTTATCTTTATGGCGAAGTAGCACTCCACTGTGTGTAAATACCACGGCATTTCTTTATCCAATCGTCTGTTGATGGCCATACGAGCTGCTTCCATGACTTAGCTATGACCAGTTGTGCTGCTAAAAACATGTAATTTTAATCCAAATAAGAAAACTCATAACTCATATGGTGTTCTCTCTCCCTTCCCCTCTCTCCCTCCCTCTCGCTCTCATCCCCCCTTTACTGCGTACTAATATTAATCATAAAGAGCTAAACGGCACTGAAGGACCACTGTGTGCTATCACACTCTTTATTTTTGGTCTCTAGAATGCGCATGTGCATGTAATTTTTCCCCATTATTAGCACTGTATGTTTTTTGTGTATCAAGACTGTGGTTCTCCCTTGTTTGTGTACAGAGAGCCCAGCACAGTTCAGGGCAATCAGAGGTTGTTTCCAGGCCCTGCGTACAACCTTGACAGTTCTTTTCTAAGAATCCCACCTATTTTTTGTCCACTTCAGCCAGGAAAATCGTACTCACATTCAGCTGTGAAGTCACATCTGCTTTCTTCATTTCTCAGAGGTGTCCTTTCCTTCTGCTCTCTTCTGCCTTGGGTCACTTGAGGTCCTCCGTTTCTGGACCTTTAATGACCCCCATACAGCCTTCTTGCTAGCTTTTCACTGACCCCAGGCTCAGGGAGTAGCTAGGAGAGGGGACTCAGGAGCAGGTTGACCTCCGAAAGCAGCAGAGTGCACTGGAAATGAAAAAGGAGCAGCTTCTGGCGATGCAGGACTTTAGCTTTCAGGTCAGAGGGAGGAGGAGAGAGGGACCTTGGCACCCCTCGAGGGGTTAGGGTCATCTAGAGCAGCTTTCAGCAAGGCAGTGCAGTTTTACCCTGTGGCCAGTCCTTGGTGGTGGCCGGAGCAGCTCATACGCAGCCCGGTTTCCTGTGGGTAGTCCTGCTCCAGGCTCAGTTCGGCTGGTGTCCTGAGAGAGGGAGCGGGCCGGCAATAAACCCTGTGCGATACTGTGTCCTGACAGGTGCAGCAGACCGCATCACGCCACATCATCAACAGTCCCGACTCCTGGGTTGTGGAGGAAACACCCAGGAAACAATCCCACAAGAAAGTGAAATGCTTCCCCTCAGATGGCAGGGAGTCCAAACGCTTCTGCACTCACCCTCAACTTGGTGCATTCACTCAGGGGCTTGAGAACTCTTCGAACACCTCCACCCAGGTATGGAGGGCAGTTGGAACTGGGTGACTGAGAGATGTGACTTGTGTATGGGCTCAGACTCACCTATGGTGGCCCTGACAGCCCAGTAGGCTGCAATTCATTTGCTCAGAAGAGTGGAGAGTCCAAACACATGCTAGCCCGTGTAACATGCCTGTACCTGTGCACCAAGGCACGAGCGTGGTGGCAGCGAGTGCCCTCAAAAGCAGCAGAGGCAGGCAGTGTAGTAGCCCAGAGGCAGAACGCCTGCTGCCTTCTGCTCCTGGAGAACGGCACAGGAGGGAGTGGTAAATACCTTTCTGGGAGGCTCTTTGATATCTTGTCTTTGATGCCACAGTACCTGCAGGAGCTGAGGCTGCAGATGCAGCAGAAGGAGGAGCTGCAGATGCAGCAGATGGAGAATCCAAAGATGCAGCAGAAGAAAAAGCCAAAGAACAAGCAATGGGAGGAGCTGCAAATGCAGCTGAAAGAAGAGCCACAGATGCAGCAGAAGGAAGAGCCGCAGATGCAGCCCCAGATACTGCAGAAGCAGCTGCCTGACAACCAGAAGAGACGGAAGAAGCAACTGAAAAAACAGGTACAGGAGCAGCTGCAGCAGCAGAATGGTGTAATCGTGGGGAGCCGGAGGGCACAGACGCGTGTAAAGCCAGCCTGGCACACCTACGCCTCTTCACAGTAACCCTGTTGTATCTGCAGGGCGAGTTCCGTGGCTCAACTCTTCACATGAGACCTGAACGATTCTTTGGCGGCAATGAAGATAAAGACTCTGAGAACCGGGGAAGTGAGAGTCCCAGGTAAGGAGTGTAGGGAACAGGGAGAGGGGCTGGCATCCCTGCTTTCCCCTCATGGCTGGACAGCATACCTGAGATCATGGATGAATGACGTGGCCATGGGCGGCCAACAGACCTCTCATGAACAGCAGCTCTCTGTCAGCTCCTCTTTCCCTGTGGCTATGGCCATCCTGCCTCTGTATGTATAGCATCTGACTGTGCATCCATACGTGCATATCGAATGGTAGCTTCCCAACACTGCCTCTCAAAGCTCTTTGGGCCTTACTGTAGAGCCTGAGCGCCATGTTTCCCGCCTGAGTTGGGTGTCTGAAGAGTCTGGGATGGGACTCTGAAATCTGTATCAATCCCAAGATCCTCCTGGCTTTGGGCCATGGTGAGAGCATGGGATTTGAAGTTAGGAAATCAGCCTTTTGGTCTCTGCTCAGTCACCAGTGATTCTGAGGCAGGTGAGCTGGCTTGCACGGGCCACGGCGAGCGCAGTCACGGTGGAAGCAGCACCATTCGTGCCATAGAAATAAAGCCAACAAACCAAAAAACAAAACAAAGGAAAACAACAACAAAACCAGAAAGAAAAAACCAGCGAGACAAGCAGGGGTGATCCCTCTCAGCATCTGCACTTGGTATACTTACACCAAAAGCAGTGTGCCTCACGTGCCTCCTGATGGCCAGTACTCTGAGGCCTGTGTCATTGCATCAGCTTTCTTCTTTTGCAGCATTTGTCTTGTGGAGCAACAGGGGGCCGCTTTGGCACATAGCTCTAAGTCAGTTTCCATTCACCGCTTATTGCAATCGCCTGACCGTCCTCTGCCCGACTTCAACACAGAGGACATCATACAAGTGTGGCTTGAGCCACCAGAATCACAGGGGGACTTCGTAGAGTTCGACAGTTGGAATGCCAGTGATAGCAGCTCCTCTCAGGAGCAGGACTCCCAGAAGCAGGTATGCTATTGCCTTCTCCTTTGCCCTCCAGCCCGGTCCAGGAGGGATTCAATGTCTTCCCCTAATGCACACACTCTAGGAATGTGCTCTGTGTGTGCATCCGAGAGCTCAGTGCACAGGAGAGTAATGGCTCATGACAGTGACACTCACTGATCAGCATAACCGCTCTCTGCAGGTCTCTGGAAAAGTGGGCTGCCACAGTGGAGCTCAGCAGAATCTGACTTTGGAACTGCTCTTGAGAATGTGCTCCCTGGGCAGAGTGAGCCAGGCATTGTTTATAATGCTGATCTCGTTGCCCAAGCCTAGACCCCATTCTGCCTTTGTGGATCTTTGGGTCTGCTACAAAATCTAGAGCCTACTGTGGGTATATTCCCTCCAATTAGAGACAAGCAGCCAGCAGACAGACACCGAAGATCCCTCTGTTGAGTGTGCTTAGTGTTCGTCTCCAGGGCCCTTGTATTAGGCAGGACAGCACCTTGGAGGCCCCTGTAGTGGCCAGTTTGCCGTACGGGAGTTGGTCCAGATGACAATTACGTAGAGGGGGTTTGCTCCCAGCAGTCTCCACACAGGCGCTGTAGGGACCACACACATTCCATCTGACGGACAAGCATCACTTACAAAAGTTGTTTTCATCTGGCATTAGAAATTTTAAAATAGCATACCCCCCCAAAAAAACCTCCAACAAAACAAAGCCATACAAACAGTGAGCTAAAGGAAAATGAGAGTTTAGACAGTTCAAACAGCTAAAAGTATGATTGCTTTCCCATGCACACCTTCACCTGCTGGACGACCAGACTGGCAGCAAGTGGGTCCTTTTGAGCAACTAAGCACAGAAAGAGGCCAGAAGGTTGAATGAGTCCAGTGGCTCCATTGCCAAACCACACTGGGGCAGGACCCTCCCCTGTGCCTGGTTTTAAGATGCTGACCGTAGTAGATGGGGCCCTGGGGTCAGAGTGGGTGCAGAGCTGTGCAGGTAGCTGGGAGAAGCTGAGAAAGTGGGATGCCAGAAGCTGTTCGCTTGGCCAAAAGCAGTAGAGTGATCCCAGGCAGGGTAGCGTGGGAGCATGAGGTCTTCACTGTGAGGACAGCCAACCCTGCCTCATTCCCACCTCCCACAGCCCAGCGCTCCTCCTGCTCCCTCTGTCATCCCCTTCACTCCTTTGAGCGCTGTTCGTTCGAGCCCTACCTCATGTCTAAACAGAGCCCCGGGATCCCTGCTGCTCAGACAGAAAAGAGCCCCACAACCACCTGTTGTGACACTGTCATTCTCTTCTGCACCTCAGTGTGGCCCGGACCTCTCCTTCTGTCTCTTTGTTCAGATGGGTCGAATAGCTCCAAATCAGGGTCAGCGTGGAAGCCACACTCCAGAGCCCCAGGCTGTGGGCTGCGACTGCAGCTGCAGAGATGGGGCGGCGGGGGGCCAGACACAGCCAGGAGCTGTAAGGCAGCTTTGGAAAAGTGGAGGTCCGCTGCTGCTGGTGCTCAGAGAGAAGAGGGGAGGAGCCTATCTTCCAGCTCCCTTCTCTCCCAGCACCTTGCAGGCTCAGGTTGCAAGAGGGACCTCTCAGCTCCTTGCAGACTTGGACAAAAGAGATCCTCCCACTATGCCTAAGGGGCCCTGGGAACTACCGCAAAGGATTTCACCTGGTCCTCTCTTTTCCTGGCAGGTGGAAGCACAAGAGGCCCAGGCCTCTGCTACAGTTGGGCCTGAAAGGAGACGCTTCATTCCTGTGGGGGAGTATAACTGGGATTATCTGCTGCGCCAGCAGAACCATCGCCCCCAGCCATGAGAGGAAGATGGGGGAAGAGGCAGATCTGCGGATTTGCCTGGGCAGGGGACCCCACAAGAGCCACGGAGTCCCCTGGGGTAGGGGTGGGGGGAGCGAACATTTCCTTTTCCCCTGGGAAGTTGTACTTGTTTGTTAAGCATAGCCTGTTTATTGGAAATTACGCTGCAGAAGCAACCTTTAATGCCTAATCTGCTAACTGCTGCCCCTTGCCTGCCATGCCCAGCTTTACCTACAGACTTTCCACCATGGGCAGGCTGGCTGAAGCGTTTTCAAATTGAAATGCCATTTTTATGCCAAAAATCGCTGGAGTAGCTGGCATTCTAGTAAGAAGCTGCTCAGCGTTAGCAGTAGGAAAGCCCAGCGGGAATAGGACTCTAGCCGTGCCAACTTAGAATCTCAACAAAGGTACTTGGGAGCTGAGATCATTCTAGTTTCATTGCTTAATAAACATTTTCATTTCCTACAACTCCGTCTGAATTTATGACTGACTTTTAGATCCCAGGAATGCTATTGACTTAGCTGAGAGTGCCAGGGTGCCCGTGACAGGCTTATTTCTTGGAGCTGGGCACCTTGCAGGGGACCCGCACCCCTTGGCCTCTCGGCCGCACCGTGCCAAACGTACAGAGGCCAGGGGCTGCTGCCTTGCGGTGTAGCTCGGGTGTCCTGGCCCCGTTTCGGACCCCATGGGCAGGCCCGTGTTTCCCGTGTCACCTCTGAGTGAACCTTGCTACCCTCTCCCTTTGCATATGAGTTCAGTCTCTCCTCTCCGGAGAGTTTCCATGCCTGGCATACTCTCTGGAAGAAAAGTGGTTTTGCCCATTGGTCAGACACCAAGCAGAGCGCCATCCTAGCTGTCTGCACCGTGCTGAGGGTGTGGAGGGCTTCTACAACCCTACTAGAATTGGCGTGTGTCTCTCAGGAGGTCATGGACCTTTCCTAGAAGAAGACAAAGGAAACCCTCAGTCTCCACTGGCAAGTAACATAAAGGGGACGTGCCAGGCCTCACCCGCACAGGATTAGGCTGACGTTCCTCAGATAGTGTCATCTCTACCAGGGCGTTTAGGAGTGAAGGTTTGTGTGCTGTCCCATTCATATATTGAAGACCCAACCCCAATGTGGTGTATGTGGAGAGGAGGCCTTCGGGAAGTAGTTATAATGAGATGAGGTAACAATGGTGGGGCCCTCATAATGGGATTAGTGCCCTTCTAAAATAGTAGACAGTTTGCTCGCATCGCACAGACCTCTTATGTGCACGCACACTTACACCAGATGTAGTGTGAGTATGAAAGGCACTGTTCACAGGTGTGCTCAGACCACAGTTTCACGAGGGGCATCTTTAAATGGATACAGGGCACACCACCTGAACTATTCAGGTTAAGTGTTTTCTGACTGCCAGCCTTCCCTGCAAGCCTCATGTGCTTAGTGCACCCAGTGTCTGACTCAAGCAAGCCCACCCTGTCTTTCCTCTCAGGAGTTTCTTGGGTGTGAGTGAAGGAGAAGTCCGAGGCTAGCAGACCCCAGGGACAGGATGGGAGGGAGAATGCGCAGGTGAGGCAGGCGTTGCTCCTGGGACATGCCCCCAGGGCCCCTAGCCTTAACCATCTGGCTCTTCTTGGTGGCAGCATCCTTCGTGGGCAGCCCCAGGATGCTAGCCGCCTTCTGCTGCATGTTCTGGGCGCCTAGTTTGGGGCACGGGCCTCCTAGCTGCGCCTCATGTGCACTTTCTCCCTCACTTCGCCTGTTCAGCCCACACAGACTTCCCCTTGGCTGGGGCAGCAGAGGCGGGGAGGGGCAGGACATAGAGACTTGGTGGGAGGCACAAGGTTCCCGCAGTAGGAGCAGCCTGGTGCATCACAGGCAATGTGGGAGCCCACCTCTCTTTTAAGATTCCCACCCCCACAGCCCTGAGTTGATGCCAGCAGGGCGGCCTCCAGGTAGGACAATCACCCCTGTATAGGTGCCCCATCTCCCAGCAGGAAGCTGGGTGGAGCACACCTGCCTGGGAAAGTACAGGAGCTGCCTGAGGGGAAGCGCGTGACAGAGGCACCTCAGTTGCCGCAGACGCAGCCACTGAGACCTGCACAACGGCTCATTCCCAGGGGGGCAGTGCAAGTCTCTGGACGTAATAGAAGGAGCCTTGCACAGACTTCTTGTGGTCCTGTGTTTCTGTGACCTCAAACATTTATTAGCGTTCTGATTTCCAAGCCCAGTTTATAGTAAGGGAGGGGGAGCGATACTGAACCCACAGGCTGTGTCCTACCGCAACTCGGTTTGCACTTCCCAGCACCGCCATGGGAATGGTCCAGCCTGATGCCGTGAGTGATGGTTGAAGAGCATCTGGGAAGCAGTGAAAGCGAAGCTAGCTGGACTCGGAACACCTGGGGTGTGGGTGCCAAAAGCATTGAGAAGGAAATGCTGCGGTGGCACTGACAGGAGGGGCCGGGGGGACACTGGGCTTGGATGTGCAGCTCCAGGGCAAAGGGTGTGCTCGAGTGCGGAGGAGAGCTGACCCTCCAGGACCTTGAAACAGGTCTCCAGCCACAGGGAGACCGTAGTGAACCCCATCCCCGCCTCTCAAAATGCGCCCTGACAACTTCAGAGACAGCTCTGAGATTTAGAGCTAGGACCCGGCTGAACATGTGGTAGGGAATACTGAATGGGGTGTTTTTCAGCCGTACCAGTGGCTGAGACCCCATCGAATGGTTCTGCATTCCAAGTGAATTGCAAGCTCACCTGACCTGGCCTGGCCCCCTCCTTCTGCAGCAGCTTCTCACTTCCCTCCATGCACTCTGCCTTCACTCTCCTGGGCCACTGAGTTTGGTAGAAGCACTGGACCTTTCCACCCTCTTGGACCAGCCACGATTCCAAAGCCTGGAATGCCCTTCCTGCAGTCTGTCTCCAGCCCTTGCTTATGCGGAGCCCAGCTGGGTCAAGCCCCCTGCCTTGCCAGACGCATTCTCGCTGGCAGCTCAGCGCCACTGTGGCCCTGCTGCTTCTCTGGTAGATGGGCCCACAGATGGGGAGACCTTAGAAGCCCCACCACCCTGCCATTCCAGAAGGCGGCTTCCTCCCCCAGAGTTCCAGTGAACACCTTCATGACCTCGGCCCTTAGCAGCCGGCGGGAGTGCGTTTCATGAGGAAAACCAGCTGCTCAAGCAGGCCAGGTCAACTGGGAGCCAGGCTGGCTCGGCTTGGACAACTACCCAGCAGCTGGGAGATGCCAGGCAGTCCCTGGGGCCCAAAGCGACCCCACCAACAGCAGCAAAGCTCCAAGGTCCCAGGAAGGGTTTCTTCCTGTGCACACTGCCGGGATAACTTGCCTTTACCTTCTGAACATCAGGCAGCCCTGGCAGCCCTTCCTCAAAGTGCCCCTTCCGCCATGGGGCTGTGCAAGACCGGCTGGCATGGCCTGCAGTTAGAAGTTCCAGGGTGAGGGAACCTGGTAGATGAGACAGCAGGGTTCAAGGTGTGAAGCACACAGTGCTGCCCACAAGTCAGGAGCACCCTGGTGGTGACTGCAGTCAGCCCCTGCCGTCCCCTTTGTGGCCACCACAAATCCGGTATCCTGAAAGGAAATGGGACTGGGAGAAGAGGCGCAATGACAGAGGCCTGAAACTTCTGGAGCTGTGGATGTTTCCAGCCCAGATGGAGGCCCTGACCCCAAAAGTCAAAGGGTAATGACCTACACTGTCGCCTTGTTGATGAAACGAAACCCACAACCATGCACAATCAAAACATGTCAAATGCAGAGAGGCAAAGGTCAGCCGATGGGACAGACAAATTGCAATATTTAGAATAGTGTGTTCAATTGTTTGTGTAACCTAAGTTCCAGCCTGTAGGGTGGGTAAGTGGGAGAGGGGCTTCGAGTTTAGCTGCCTGGGCCTGAGGTGTGGCTTCAGCAGGGAAATAGAGTGATTTACACCTTGGACCTTGGAGCCTCCGGGATGTGGGAAAGTTGGCCTGTAGCTTCCTGAACAAAGGGTGTCAGTGGACAATGGAGGACGCAGACAGGGAATGGGGCTGCCGGGTTTTGTGTTACTCTTTTATTCTGTTTCCCCTACCCACCAGAGGGCCGTGCCCACCACTGTCTATCTAAAATATGGCAAGACATTGAATTGGAGGCTTCTTCCTGTAACCCCCTGCGAATGGCTTTTACCGCTCCACATCTTTCTGACTCACTGGATCGCCGCAGCAAGGATGAGATGCTTGCTTGAGGCTGGGGGTTAGAATCTGGAGCCATCTTGGGTCAAGAACACAATGAATGGATGAGCAAACCAATACCCGTTTGCCTTCATGCCGTTCTGAGCCCTATGTTCTCAAGCTCTGGTGAAGACGCAGTGGGTTGCCTGATCCCCACAAGGGTGGGTGTACTGCACAGCTCAGCCTGTCTTTGTTTCCTTCACCTTCTCGTCTCTTCTCCCATTCCAGTTGGATCTTCTCTCCTCGTCCTTTCTCAGGACACTAATCACCTCCTTTAACTGATGCACTAATTGTAAGGACAGCCACTTTGTCCTTGCACTCACCTGAGCTGATCTGCAGATATCTTCCCAACTCCCCTCTTTCTCTCATCCATCACCTTGGACATAAGTATCTGTCTCCTCTCTTGACACACAGGAGCGGGCAGAGCAAGTGTGAATGGATGAAGAATGCATGATTGAGCAGATGCCTGTCTAGTCTACATTGTCTTCTGTTCCTAGGTGCAACTCAGGCCAGGCGTATAGGAGGCATCAGGGAAGATCTGTTGATCAATGGGCACCCTCCACTGGAGCCTTACCAGACCCTTCGTTTGGCACAACCACTTTTTTTAAGGCACTGGGCATGCGTTTGTAGGGCCAGCCCGTGAGCCCATATGCCATGGTACCAATCTTGGGGAAGAGGTTTGATGGGACCAGCACATAGGCTGAGTTTCTTGGCACCAGTTTCCCATACTTTATGGTGTCCGGGAATGTCCAAAGTCTGTTTCCTCTGGTTACGAAGTGCTGGGGCATTGCCTAGCGCCCAAACAAGGACCAGGAAAGTGTAAACCAAGGAGGTCCCTTTATCTGTCTCTAAGTTCATGGATTCTTCTGTTCTTACCCCACACATTCCACCGGTGTCCATTTGATGGAACCTACAGAAGCTCTAGTTCAGAGGGCAACGGCATGTACTTGGACATGCTAGGGATGCTCAGAGTGGGCAAGAGGGCCCCTGGAGTTTGGGAGACAGAGTCCCAGTCTAGGTGGGGCTTGGCCGGATGAATTTCTTGTTGTCTTTTGCCCCCTCGTGTACAGTTGCAGTATTGCAGCTCCCCAGTGGTCCCCATGTGACTGGTTAACATTTCTTGGGTGCTTGCTCTGGGTCAGGCCCTATGTCAACCAAAATTCTAGTCTCAAGCTCTCAGTCCAACCCTTGGTCAACTCCCTGATGCATTTCCCTTCTCTACCCTCCTCAACAGCCCTCAGATCCATGATCACGCAC